ATGTATTTGTTTCTTTTTTTTTTTTTTTTTTTTGCTAATTCCACTGGTAGAAAAAGATGGTTTCCAAAAACAATGTGTGTTTTTGTAAAAGTATCTAAAAAGTAAAATCATGTCCTAGCACAAAAGATAATATACCACATAATTCCATTTGTATGGAATCCCTGGGTCGTGCAAACAGTTAATTAACACATTCAACTACTAGCCAAAAGGTTGACGATCGGAACCCACCCGGAGGCGCCTCGGAAGACACAGGCCTGGTGATCTGCTTCCGAAAAGTCACAGCCTTGAAAAACCCTATGGAGCAGTTCTATTCTGCACATGTGGCATCGCCATGAGTTGATATTGACTCGACAGCACCTAACAACAACAACGTATGAAGTTTTAGAAAAGGCAGAGCTAATTACAGGGGATAGAAATCAGATTAGTGAATGTTTGTGAGGGATTGACTAGGAAAGGGCACAAGGGAAATTTCTGGAGTGATGGAAATGTATATGTTGGTAGAGGTATGAATTACATGAATGTGTATGCATTTGTCAAAACAGATCAACCTATATAGTTAAGATCTGTGCATTTATGTGAATTATGCCTTTATTAAATAAACAAAAACAATGTAGTATTGTTCTAGTGTTTTAAAATTTCAAAACACCTTCCCCTACCTCTCATAGACAGTAGAAAGGACTGGTATTGAAATTCTCATGTAATTATTTTGAAATAAATTTTGAGGACAATTTTAGTAATGTTAAGGTCTAGGCCTTTCCTTGAAGTTAGATTTGTCCAGTTTACTTTATGGAAAGAATGGTAAACAAAACAGCTCTTGGACCAGTGAGGCTGAATTCATTTGCCTGTGTGCTTCTCCTTTCCCTATCCTTCCCCCATCCCCTACACCCCTCTTGTGTGATTCTGACTGGGGTTTGGGTAACACAGGATCAATTGGATTAAAAAAAACTGTAGCAGCCATTAAATAGACTTTTCTGGCTTGCTTCTCATAGCCTGAGGTAGACTTTAGACTTGGTAAATCTTGTTACCCTTCTCAGTACAGCTGACTTGTAAAACTTCACCAGTGATGAACTGGAACTCTTCTGAACAGCTAGGTACCCCCACATGGGCACGGTCATGTATTCATCCAAAGATACCTCCTTAAGTGCCTCACAAATGTAGATAGGGTGCTAGATTGTGGTGGTGGTGGTGCTGGTGTTGAAATTGATCCCCAACTTCCAACGGGACTAAAATACAGAAACCATTTCCCTGGGTCCTGAGCCTATGTGGATGCTGTTGATCCTGAAGACATGGAAATTGCTGGACACTTGGAGGCATAAACTGTTTAAGTGGTTTTACTCTGTCATTCTCAAATACTACTAGGTGTAAGCTGCCCTGTTCCCAGCTCTCGGCAGAAGGTCGTGTTCTTTGTTGCGGAGCAGCCATGGGCTTCAGAGCTGGCTAGGTTGGTCATGGAAGGATACGGGTCAGGTTTGTTTTCAGCGTAGAGCCAAGGCCTGAAGAAAACTGTTTCTGAGTGTGCAAGAGGTAGGGCGGAGAAGGGGCAGAAATTGTCAGTCCTTGATGACATACTTATCCCTACTTTATTAGAGAGACATAGTTCTCTCTCTCTCTCTCTCTCTCTCTCTCTCTCTCTTTAAATAGAGAAACATAAAAGTAAGTAAGTTTGATTTCTAAGTAGGGGACGTAAGGCTCTTATATGTCCTTCTTTTTTATTGCAAAAGCTCTTCAAGGGAAGGAGTCTTTATCTGTTTGGTTCACTAGTGAATTTATCCCAAGATCCTCAGACAGTGCCCGCCACAGAGTATGTGCTCATTACATATTGGGGGATTGAATGACCCCATGGCCCATCTCTCGGAGGGGCACACAGACCCAGGCAGAGCAGTACCTCATTAAAAACAGTAGCCAGTATAGTCAGAATCCCTTAGTCCCTTCGTCTTCTCAGAGGAAAGAAAAATCCTTTTGTAGGGGGGAATCATAGGCCCCTGTGAAGGATTTTCCCCGATGATTTACCTGTCATTCGTTCATCCATTCATTCATTTACTGTGTGAGGCACTGTGTCTTACTCTTAGAATGAATGAATGTAATCACTCTGGGCTTCGATGTCCTCATTTTTATACGGGAAGATGATATAGAATATCTCTGAAGAAGGAGAGTGTGAAGGTGAGGATCATTTTCATCATATCTTCAGCCTGAATCTCAAGACCAAAGCAGCAGGCTGTGGTAAGAGATAGTAAAGGACAGCTCTCTTTGGTACTGGGGTCAGCTACTCCCGCTCTTGTGATGGGCTCCAGCTCACAGACAAATTAGCCTCCTGTCTGTGGAGCCTGTGAGGTGAAGCGTGTCCCCCAGGTGATAAGCAGTCGTTCTATTGTCTGTCTCTCCAGTCACCACATGGCTAATGATAGACCTCTGCTCGTTGTCCTGTTGGCTACTCCTCTCAGACTGTGCTGTGACAGTGCTACAGGCATCTGGGGGCATGGTGAGGTGAAGACACCTCTGTTTTCCCAGCAGGCAGCCCGCTGATCCCACACATCCAGGACACTTCCCTCAGGGATCCCAGGCTGGAGCTGCTTATTACTTGGAGTAGGAACGTTTTTGAAACTGTTAGGTGGGATAGAGGGAATTGGCCTAGCTGCCCTGTGCTGTCAGGGATTGTGCCAGGGACTGCTCATTTGTGGTCTGTGCCCTTGGTTTTTCCTCCTGCTCTGTGATTCCTGAGAGAAGGAAGGTCACTTTATGGTTCCTTATTCAGAACTAGCACAAGGGACCTTGAGATACATATCCTGTAACTATTTGTATTCAGGCTTATGGCGAATCTTCCTAAGTATCTTATTTGTTGTTGTTAGGTGTCGTCAAGTCGATTCCGACTCATAGCCATCCTATGTACAACAGAACGAAACACTGCCCGGTCCTGTGCCATCCTCACAATCATTAATATGTTTGAGCCTATTGTTGCAGCCACTGTGTCAATCCATCTCATTGAGGGTCTTCCTCTTTTTCGCTGACCCTCTAGTTTACCAAGCATGATGTCCTTCTCCAGGGACTGGTCCCTCCTGATAACATGTCCAAAGTACGTGAGACAGAGTCTCGCCATCCTCGCTTCCAAGGAGCATTCTGGCTGTATTTCTTCCAAGACAGACTTCCTTACCCAGATGACTTCAGTCTTGATGCTCTCCCTGCTTCCCTGCACCCCATTTTGGTTCATCCCAGGGTAATCTTGAACTCTAGTTAGTTTGTTTTTGAAATTCAGAATCCCAGTTCCATTTTATTAATGGATTATAATATTTTATTGTGTTTTTGGTGAAAGTTGACACAGCAAATTAGGTTCCCATTTAACAATTTCTATACACATTGTTCAGTGACATTGGTTACATTTTTCACAGTGTGTCAACATTCTCATTATTTCCGTTCTGGTTGTTTCGTTACCATTAATCTAGCTTCCCTGCCCCCTACCCCTTACCTTCTCATCTTTGCTTTAGGGTAAATGTTGACCGTTTGGTCTCATATAAATAATTTTTTTAAAGGAGCACAGTACTCATGGGTGATTTTGTTTATTTTAGAGCCAATCTGTTATTTAGCTGAAAGGTGACCTCCTGGTGTGGTTTCAGTATAAAGTTTAAAGGGTATCGCGGGTGATAGTCTTGGGGATTCCTCTAGTCTCTACCAGTCCAGTAAGTCTGGCCTTTTTTAAGAATTTGCATTTTGTTCTACATTTTTCTCCCATTCTATCTAGGACCATCTATTGTGTCCCTGGTCAGAACAGTCGGTAGTGGTAGCCAGGCACCATCTAGTTCTTCTGGTCTCAGGATAGATGAGGACATGCTTTGTGTAGGCTGTTAGTCCTGTAGACTAGTTTCTTCTTTGAGTCTTTGGTTTCCTTCTTTCTCTTTTGTTCCAGATGAGTAGAGGCCAGTAGTTATGTCTTAGATGGCTGCTCACAAGCTTTTAAGACCCCAGATGCTACTCACCAAACTAGGATGTAGAACATAAAGTTTATGAACTATGTTATGCCACTTGACCGAGTTGTCCCACAAGACTATGGTGTAAGCCTTCAAATCCAGTAAACCACTCCCACAAGGTGTTTAGTTATGTCTAGGAAGTATCCATAACTGTGCCCCCTGGTTGTTTGTTTTTTGCCTTGTTATTGTTAGTTGCCATTGATCATTTCAACTCATGGTGACCCCATGTGTGCAGAGTGGAACTCCTCCATAGGGTTTTTAAGACTGTGACCTTTTGGAAGTAGATTGCCAGACCTGTCTTCCGAGGCGCCACTGGGTAGGTTCGAATAGAACCCTTAGAAACCTGCAAGAAGTCCTTTTGCCTTCTGATTGAGGTCTTGTCTTGTTAACCCAGGGAGTCTTTGCTGTTTGTGTTAGTCTGTCTAATTAGTTTTGGCAGTCTGGTGAAGCCATTCTGAGCTTTTAAATAATATTCTTAAATGCATAAAATAAAACACATAGGATTACAAAGGAAACCATTTATATTGAAGTAACTATCAAACCATTTTAACAGGACATTTTGATACAGTAATCTGTGTGCCTCTTTATTAATACATCAAATACCAAAATCTCCTAGCAGGTATAATAACTATGACCATCTCAAATACTGATGACTGTAAATGATGTTGAGATACCTGTAGCCTCTATAATGTGCTATGAAAATATCGATGATTTGTCTGGTGAGCAGTTGCAGGTGCTCTAATATTCCTGTGGTTTGTGTTACCTACGTTTATAATTGAAGGAAATGATAAATTTCAGTTGGAGGTTAGTGAGAATAAAGTTTTTTCCATCTGAGTTCATGGACCCCAGGTTAAAGTCCCCTACGTTAGCCTGATTCTCAAATTCCGGGGTTTGCTTTCCATGTTCCCTGTCAACTTCTAAGCTTTGGGGCCTTCAGCATTCCCTGTGTAGGTTGTGCATTCTGCAACATAGAGATGAACAAAACTGGAAACCACCGTGTCTAACCACATCCCTGCATCTCTTCTGTTTGCATCTGTGCAGGTAGAAGAAGGATGGTGGGAAGGTGTTCTCAATGGAAAGACTGGAATGTTCCCTTCCAACTTCATCAAGGAGTTGTCGGGAGAGTCAGAAGACCTCAGCATTTCCCAGGATGAGCAGCTCTCCAAGTCAAGTAAGAAAGCCTACCCCTCAGAGCAGGAAAGGGATTGGGGAGGTCATCAGACTCTGTTCCAGCCTCCCTTATCTTCCATATCCTGTGCTGAGAGGCTGTGACAAAAGCTCAAGAGGGTTTTCTTGATTATACTACCTTAGCCCACTGTGGCTTAGCAAACTGATCACATTCTCTGGATAGGTGATTTTCAGCCTTCATGCCACGCTAATACTGTCTCCTGGGTGGCCTAGGTTGGTGTGCCTCCACAGACTTCTAAAGTGTCATTCCATGTAAGTTGGCAATTATTTTTAGAACAAACCAAATGAGATTGTCAGTATTTCTCTGCATCCCTTGAGGATCTTGGAGAAAAATAGCATGCCAATAGATAAATAAAGCCCTTGGTGGTGAGAAATTCTATGGCCAAGAAGAGTGCATGTCATTCCCATAAGAGTATGACAAGACAACAGAGAGTCCAGGCCCCACCTAGGTGAGCATGTGTGTTCTGAGATGGTGAGAACGAACTTCAGGTCTTCTTTCTCTAGGGCCTGAATGTCTCCCTCCAGCTTCTCTGCTGCCCTTTCCAGCACATGGAGCAAAAGGTCAGGACCGGGAAGCTTTGTTCTCCCAGTCGCTAACCCAACTTCCTCTGTGGGCGTCTGTGCATCTCTTGTGCTGTCTTGAGCAAAGGTCATGGGTGTGAATGTTGTAAAAGGCTTGACTGTGTCCTCATAGTGCAGCACTACCTGAGGTCGAAGACTTTTTTTTCGAACGAGAGAACAGCTCAGTCTGCCAAAATAATTCTCAAACTCCTTTTTTTTCCATTTGGAAAATCTGACTTGAATGGTATTCTTATGTTTTTCTGTGGCTATTGTATTTGACCAATAGCATGATTGTACACATTCTCGATTTGGAGGCAAAGCCATTTCCAGAGACTTGGTCAACCGACTTCCTTCACTTGGTGTCTCAGCAGCTCTGGATTATGCAGCCTGCCATACATAGAAATGGCGGTGCTTCAGGAATGCCCCTTCCCCTCCACTGCCAAAGCCTGGGGCCCCCTGCCCCATTCCATCCTAGGTTCTATGGTAGGAAGGACATCAGGGGATTTGGGGACAAATCAGATGTCTTGGGGCTCCTGCTGCCTTCTCTGGCTAGGGTGGGGGGATTCTCTGCTACCACAGCCCAGCTTATGAGGGGAGAAGGTGTCCTTGATCCCACTTTATCGGGAGTTAGTATAGCTCCGGAATTCCATGGTAGAATTCTAACTGCCTTGGTGTCTCCTTTTGTACACTGAAATAATACTGTACATGGTAATTAGGTCCTATAGTAAAAATACTATACTTCAGGGACCTTGTGGATTGAATGGGCTTTCTTGGAGGGAGGACCGAATTGGGTCATTATAACATTACTTCCATGGGGGAATGCATTACAAGTTCCAATAACAGTAATGTATATAAACCATGTGGCCCACAGATGGCCCTCAATAAATGGTTGTTCTCATTGTTAATAGTGACAAACCCTTGGGACATACCAGTTACGCAGAGGCTGCTTGCACACTGATTGAGCCCATGTTCACTGAAGCAGTGTGTCTGCATTTGGAAATTACTTTGGATTCCCCTACTGATAGAGAAGGAGATTTGGGGAGAGGGTATTGGATAACCTCTTTGGGAAAGCTTTGACCCCTTGGTGTCGTGCCATCTCAGCTATGCACTTAAGAACTGGATGGTCAGAGAAGTGATGACTTTGTACTATTGGAACTATTAAAAAATCTGTCTCCTTTCACTCCAGCTCAATAATATGGACATTGGACCCTGCCTGTCTCCTCAGCTCAAAGTATATGGTGCTGGAATTCCTGGGGCAGGAGGATGAAGGGGCTGAGTAGGGTGGTATCCACGGTCACTTAACCTTTGTTCACCTGCTCAGAAGGGGCTGTTTCTGCTTGTAAAGTCTGCCCCCCCACAACACTCATTCAGTAAAAGCCCTCCATTTCAGGACCAGGAGAGCCCAGTAGTCATAGGGCAGCCCAGCTTAGTTACAAGGAATCTGTCCATTGTTGCGGGGGTGGGGTTTGAGGTCCCTGGAGAGACATTGTCTCCTAATAAAGATGAATGTTTCTGGTAAGAACTACATGGCTTTTGTAATCTTCCTGTATGTACAAGTAAGGGGAAGAGGGCACATCTATCCATCTCTCCATCTGTCCATATCTATCCATCCATCCATCTTTCTCTCCTCCTTTTCTTTCATTCTTCATTCATTCAAGCTTTATTGAGCCCCTATTGTTACTAAGGCAGTGTACAAGGCAATAAAGATATGCAGAGACAAATCAGGTACGGTCCCTGCTTTCAGTAAGCTCACGTTGCAGAAAGGGGGTGCGCAAGTCAACAGAAGTTGAAGAAGGTGCCCCAGGTGCTCTGCTAGCCAGGGTCTGAGGAACAGTGGGCTACAAAGGCAGAGACGCCAGTCCCATTGGGATGTGAGGGCGATGGTGGTCACAAAGGACTTCAGGGAAGAGCAGATGTGGTAATAATGCCCCTGAACCCTGGTGGCACAATGGTTAAGAGCTACAGCTGCTAACCAAAAGGTTGGCAGTTCGAATCCACCAGCCGCTCCTTGCAAATTCTACTTTGTCCTATAGGGTCGCCATGAGTCAGAATCGACTCGACGGCAGTGGGTTTGGTTTTTTGGTTTTGGTTCTGGCTTGCTAAATTGAAATAATCCCTGGAAAGAGAGAGAAATAGCGTCTGTCAGTGTTTGGACAGGTTTTTCGGTAGCCATTTATCATTCTGAATTTGCTTCAACATGTGACTATGGTGAAATTTATGTAATCAGCTCAGATCACATGCAGAAATTATGTATACTGATAGTATTTGTCCAAGTGGAACCTTTGGTATTAGAGTGAATCTGCTTATTCTCTACCCTCAGAGAATGGTGTTACTACTTTTGATGAGATTTAATTTTTAAAAAAATGTTTTATTTTGAAATAATTATAATATAGATTCATAGGAAGTTGCAAAAAATAATGTACAGGGATAGCCCATGTACCCATCATGCAGTTTCCCCCAATGTAACAGCTTGCATAACTATAGTACATGCATATTTGCTTTTGTTATAAAACTGAGAAAGACAAATATAATTAATGCACAAAAGGCATTTAGCTTTTTACGTTAGTATGAGCTGAAAATGTACTTAATCAAGGTCTTTGTTAGACCAGGCAATTTAATACTCTTCGTAAATCACACTTAACTTTTCACAGAGATTGCTTAATTAATACATGGTCTCTAGTAAGTTCAACTCCTAATGTTTGTGCCATTTTGGTAATTTTTAGAGATCATAGTGAGATCGTATGAAACTCCTCTTAATTTAAATGCTTCCAGACATTCAAAAAACCAAACCTATTGCCATGGAGTCGATTCCGACTCATTGCGAACTTGTAGGACAGAGTAGAACTGCCTCATAGGGTTTCCAAGGAGAGGTTGGTGGATTCAAACTGCCAGCCTTTTGGTTAGCAGCTGAGCTCTTAACCATTGCACCACCACCAGGGCTCCTTTTAGACATTAGGGTGAGGTTTTTTAAGACGGAGAACATCTGTATTTGGGTACATATGAAGAGAACCATGTGTTCAATGAATCCTTGTACATCTCTCTTTGTGTCTCTCTCTCTCACACACACACACCCCCACAAACACACCTGCATGTGCACATGTTTATTTGGCATTTGTACTCTTCACATTTCTACTTCCAGAAAGCATTTGAGGTGGTTATTCAGTTGCGTTCTGTAAATCGATGGATTGGGATAGAAGAAACAGTGGCATTATGTTTATAAAGAAATGTGCCAAGTCTGCTTGAGACGTGGTAGATGCTCAGTAATTGCTTGCTGGATCATTTATTATTCTGAGGCGGCATTTTTTTCTTCGAATGACAGGTGCAAATTGCTTGAACTTGCTTTTCTTTTACCCTGATGTATTTTTACATATGGTGGTATATTATGAAAATCTCTTTAACTTTCTTAGATCTTTATTCAGAGTAGTCTCATATATCAAGGAAAGATTTACAAGTAATTGTATCTGTTGATAAGTTGGTTTAAACATTGTATCTGAGAAGGAAATTCAATTATGTAGTAGCAGAAATTCTTTGCAGCATATTTAAATTTGAAAATATCTTTATCTCTGTATCTTTCAAAGAATTCATGAAACCTTAAAGGTGGTTTGTTGAAGATTTTAAATAAACGTTTAGATTTTTAGAAAGTTTCTAACATATACAAAAGTAGAGAGAGTATTACAATGAACCTTTGTGTTTCTGTCACTGGCATAAGAAATTTTCAACCTATGGCCAATTCGTGACACTTATACTCCCACTTACTCCTCCCCTCCATTATTTTGAAGCAAACCCCAGATACCTCATGATTTCATCCATAGATATTTCAATATATATCAATAAAAGGGTTCTTTAAAATACCATTATCACACCAAAAAAAAAACCCAAACTTGTAATTCCTTAATATAATTAAATACATAGTCAGTGTTTACTTTTCCTTAATTGTCTTTTTTTTTTTTAAATAAAATTTGTTAGTTTGAATCTGGATGCAGATAAGATGCATACATTGTGATTGGTTGATATCTCTCAAGTCTCCTTTAATCTATGGATTCCTCCTCCATTCACGTTTTCTCTTGCTGAAGAAACCGAGGTCATTTGTCTATTAGTTTCCCACAGTCTGCCTTTGCTGATTTCATCTCTGCAGTGTCATGTAACCTGTATTTCTAGAAATGGATCATTAGATTTGGGGGCTTGATCAGATTCAGATTTGAGATATATATATACACACACACACACATACATACACACACGTATATATCCCCCCTCAAGACTGATTCATAGGTGGAGGCATATGTCTGGCTGTCTCTCTTTTTGGATGTATGCAGCCGCTGATGATTTGCACCCAGATATCTTCATTCATTAGGGGTTGCAAAATGGTGTCCACAAGGAATTTTTTCAAAAGAATGAAATGGCCTACCATGTACACAGATC